ATAGGGTTGATTGGTACCAGGAGCTACTTAATCAGCTGAGGTGGAGCAGCTGGGAGTATGGCAGTCTAAGTGTAGTGGTGTGCACGTGCCTGTAAGTTGCGTTGAGTTATTTTGAGTTGAGTTTTCTTCAGTTATGTGAAGTTAAACCATTTCGTTTGTTTAGTGATTTTGTTTGGCATGTGTACTTTGCTGGCACTTGTTTAAAATAAATGACTGATTTGAGAAAACCTGATGTCTTTTTCGAGTCTGTCTCCTACATTCCTGGCCGCTCAGAGTCAACCTACCACAACACTATCAACTGATATGCAGCACTGTGACTGAAAAAAGGCTTTGTTAAAGCTTTACTCTCGGCTCAGCTGTTGCCATTTCCAAAGTCTACTGTGAACTATGAACAGTTTCAACCACCAACACTAAGCCTAGAGGACATCGGGAGATTTGGGGATGATACATGACGCTACCAGCAACAAAAAACAGCAACAACTAGGACAGACTCATAATCTAGGCATTAATTATCATGAGTACAATATTTATCATAAGAACCTGGATGGTCATCTGTCTATAACCATGTGTAGCTGACCTGAGACGAGCTGCTTCATCAGGGATGCCCAGGCAGATCTCTCTGTCAAAGCGTCCGGCTCTCCGGAGGGCGGGGTCCAGGGAGTCCGGCCTGTTGGTGGCACCAATGACCAGGACCTGGCTCGTTACTGTCAGACTGTTCAGGTCTGACAAACAGAAGGCAAGGAAGAGAACACGTGAATAATGCCATCTCACCTTAGAAGTGCACTGAACGATGCTCACATTAGTTAGAATTATTTATTTTATTAAACCTTTCTGCTTCACATGAGGAAGAAATCTATGATACAGATTTAACATGGTAAATGTTGTCAAATGAAAAACAAGTACAAGAAAAAAATTGTTATTCTTGTCATTTGTTTATAGTTTAGTGAAAGAAGAGCAGGGTTAGGGTTCCTGCAAAGTTGAAGACGTGTCAGGTTACACTTCAGGAAATCAATAACAATGACTCAACACTAAGTGGCCCAGAGTTGGCTCTGTTTGCTGTCAGGTGACAATTACTGCTAGGTTAGAATATGATCTGTGCTTTAATATGAGGCTGCTCGTGTCCTGGGGGAAACCAAATGTCCCTGAAGGCAGCGTATCATACCATCCATGCACGTCAGCAGCTGGGCTACAATCCTCCTCTCCATGTCTTTAGAAGCCACTTCTCTCTTAGGAGTGATGGAATCTATCTCATCTATGAACAGGATACATGGGGCTGCACCCTGCAAGAGGAGAAAACAATAACAACCACGGCATTCAGCATTATCAGAGGAACATCATGTGCCTGCAATACCTCTAGTCTCTTGAGGTATTGCACTTCTAGAACAACACAAAGTCTAGACTGAGTATTTGGACAGTTACACAGTTTTTGTTCTTCAGGCTCGGTGCCTCAGCACAGTCAGTTTGTATTAAAATAATCAATACTACGTTAAAGTGCCAGCTCTCCGACTTTATTTTAGTAGGTTTACATCAATATACAGACCGGCGACAAATTGAAAGAGAAACCTGAATAAATGAGTGGTCTCTTCCAGGATGACAGTGCCCCCATTCAAAGGGCACTGAATGGTTTGATGAGTATGAAAGTGATGTGAATCGTATGCTGTGGCCTTTGCGGTCACCAGATCTCAGCCCAGCCTAACACCTACAGGAGACTCTGGAGCAACGTATTTGACAGTGTCTCCACCACCTGAGGGAGTATGTTTTGGAAGAATGGTGGTCATCCTTCCAGTAGAGTTCAGAGAGTCATTGCCAAGGTGCGCTGTCCTGGTGGCACGTGGTGAGACACTATACGCTGGGTTGTTCTTTCATTTATCACCTGTCTGTAAACAAAACTGTGGGTATTTGGACACTTCAACATTAGGATAAGGATAATCACCTTTATTTGGCCGAGTATGTTACACACAAGGAATTTGTTTCCGGTACAGAACTGATGGCAGCCATCTGCGACGCCAACTCAACCGATGGCTCTAACCATCAGGGGCAATGGGGGGGTTCAGTGTCTTGCCCAAGGACACTTCGACATGTGGACTGGGGGCACCGAGATTGGAACCTTCAACCTTCTGGTTGGGAGACGACTGCTCTACCCACCACACCACTGTCGCCTTAAAATATGATCTGCAGTTCTTTCCCATTACTTCTGAGCCCCTAAAAGCATGGCACCAAGTGTTAAAGGAATACAGCTGTTTCTATATGAGTGTAAACCTACTCGAATTATTTCACATTTAAAAACTTAGAGCACAGGGCAACAAAAAAGGAACAGAAATATCCTCCTGCTTACGGTGTGGACTGTGACAGGAAAAAAAAAAAAACAGCACTGACCACAGCCAGATCAAACAGCTCTCGGAGCTTCTGTTCAGACTCGCCCGACACTCCAGAAACCAGCTCTGGAGCAGACACCTTCAGCATGGGCAGCTGCAACTCCTGAAACACACAGTTACAGCACTTTATTCTACAAGAATATAAAATACACACAACTTCATGTGATGTGATGCAAAATGTGTAATGCCTGTCGTTTTCATTCTACGCATACACTACACTTCCAAGCAGTGAAGAAAACCAGTAATAACCAATGACAAAATGATCTGCTTTTACAGGCTCTGTCCACTCCGGCCCAGCACTCACCCCGGCCACGGCCTGGGCCAGCAGGGTCTTCCCACAGCCAGGAGGCCCATGGAGGAGGAAGCCCCTCGGAGGAACCATTCCAAGGTGCTGATATACCTCTGGGTGTCGCATGTGGATTAGCAGCTTACACAGCTCCTGCAGCAATGTCAAATAACAGAGTGAACAGATGAATAATATGATGCATTCTAAGGTAAACCCCACTGTGTGTACTTTAAAAATCTCTGCCTACAGCCAAAGAAGGAACAAAGCAGTAAGGAACTTACTGTTAGTGTCTCTTCATTACCTCCTACATCTTCAAACTTCAGAGTGGGATACTGCAGTTCAGCAGACTTTGGTTTTGCTATGAAATTATTCATAGACAAACAATGTGCTTGTAATGCAACACAGTGGACTGTCAAAGACATCACAGCGGACTATGGTAATTAGTTAAGACATCTGACAAATTAATAGAACAAGAAAATAATTACCTAAAAACATAACAAAATAACACATTTGTCCTTCATTACTGCAAATATTTGCTGCCTCTACGGGTAATGTTTTTCTATTTAAAGATCAATATGAATTCCAGTGTTTAGAGGTGTTCAATAATAGGTTATGTGTTGTGCATTACCTTTTTTGCTCAGGGTGCGAGACTCTGCTGTTTCTCCAGAGCTCTTTGTCCTTTTGCTGTACTTCTTCCTGTGAGATTTCTCAGGCTCCAGCCTGGACACACCTGCCTGCTGCTGACACAAACACATGGCAGTTGGTACATAAGCTGAGCCACACCACCCTCAACACCTGTTACCGGAGGGGCTCTAACAGCCAGGTTCAATAGTTTTCTTCCCTTATAACTTGCAACTCAACTCTTCATATATTATAGCACCAAGGTTATGGTTGTATTTCTGATGACAAGATAACTCAGAACACAATGTCAGGAAGTTGCCAGTCTGCATCTATGTACACACACATGCCCTCCACAGGTACATACATTTGCTGCTCCATTCGTCGGTTCTTCATCACACAGGTCGATGAGGACGTTGCTCCTCTTGGGGTCTCTGCCTCTATCAATAAACCAGCCTCCTGTGGAAACTAGTGTCCCTGCAGTAGGACGGGGGTTGGCTGTGCCAACAGGACTGCTGGCCGCGGGCTGATCTCTCCTGGTTGAGCAGGTGCTAGAGTCAGGGTTTCCCTTCCGGTACAGAGATGTAAGGGAGCTGTTCATGTGGTTGGTGGGCTGCGGATGGCAAAAAAGCAACAACAAGGAATGCTTAGCTCTCACTGTCAGATAACTCACTAATGTGCTTGTTTGCCATCTATGCCAGAGTTAGATGACTGGATGGACATCAGCTTCTTCTCTCTGTGTCAAGTTAGTGCAGAGACAGAACTAAGATGTGTTTAGCCTCAGCACAAAAACTAAAAAAAGGCAAACTTCTAGCTTATCCAGCCTAGAGAGTTAAAGGCCCATGAGCTACAGGGTTAGCTACACTTGAGCTTAAACTGTCATTTTAAAATTACTGCTCAAGTGACAAGTACTCCGAGTGATCCTGCAAATTACGAGGGCGTTAAACTAACCAAACAAAACCTGAAATGGCCAAAACTCAGCAATCATGATTCTCACACACTTGTTTTCTGTTATATTACAACCCTGATTCCTAAATAGTTGGGATATTGTGTAAATTTCAAATAAAAACTGAATGAAATGTTTTGAAAAACCATTTTGTCCCATAAGGTATCTAAGGATAAGGTATAGAAGGTTTATATTAAAGCTGCATTAACTCAGATTTAGCACAAATTCAGATAAATCAAGTAAACATTGTCTAGAAGTGTTGTCCCCCTGCTGTACTAAACAGCCACACACCACTCTGCTATCTTCAGGCCCTGTTTATTTCTTGCCTTCTGTAGCCAGTGTTGTTAAAATCCACACCACACTTCTTCCACGCCCCACTGGTCCCAGGCTATAAGATGCGTTTTCCAAACCAGTATGGCTTGTTTCAAAGACAGACTGTGGAGACTCCGGCGTGCAAGTACTGTAGCTGGCTAACGTGTATATGTCAGCATCATTTACAAGCTGACGTTAGCATTTTAATTATTATTATTATCATTGTATTACTAGGAAAAAACATTCCTCTGTATAATTTGCTTGTTACTGCAGATACGTCTGCTACAAACGTTAGAAATATGAATGTATATCATTAAAACAAACCTTATTATTCAACACTGTGTCGATGCAATGCCACCGATAACCACGGGTTCTATGGGCTCGATATTTTGTATACATTAGTTCTGGAGCCAGTTATTACTGCTGCTCTACCCGACTGCCACAACTGCCTCCAGCTGTCATATGAGGTAGTTTCAGAGACAGAGAAGGAAAAGAAGTAAAGTGTCAGGACACAAGAAATGAAACAATGCCTGCCAAAGTCCATTGTACATATGATTGAGGACATAAATACCTCAACGTGCTCCAAAACAGTTGGGACAGGGACAATAAAAGCCTGGACAAGTTGTGTAATGCTCAAAAAAAAAAAACAACAACATAAAAATAATAATGTAACACCTCACAACTGCTTAGGTTATTTAGCAACAGGTCAGCATCATGACTCAGTATAAAAAGGCATCCCACGGAAGCTGAATCTTTCAGAAGGATGGGGTGAGGCACATAGTTCCACAGCTTAACATTTCTCAGTGTAAAATTACAAAGACTTTGTGGTTTTCTTCATCTACATTACATAAAATCATTAAAAGATTCAGAGAAAGCTCTGTAAACAAGGGACGGTTGAAAACCAATACTGAATAGCTGTGAGCTTCAGGCCCTCAGGAAAAACTGCATTAAAAACAGGCAACTCCTCAGTGGAAACCACTGCATGTGCACAGGAGCACCTCTGAAGACCGCCGTCAGTGAACACGGTTCACTGCTGCATCCACAAATGTAAGGTACAACTCTGCCATGCAAAGAAAGATCATATAAACAAGATACATTGCCACCTTTTCTGGGCTCAAACTCATTTAAGATGTACTGGGACAAAGTAGAAACCTGCTCTGTGGTCTGAGGGGCCAAAATTTGAAACTGTTTTTGGAACTCATGGACGGGGCATCCTCTGAGGAGAGGAACCATCCGGCTTGTTATCAGCCCACAGCTCAAAAGCCAGCATCCGTGATGGCATGGGGGTGCATTAGTGCACACAGCATGAGTAACTTGCACATCTCTTGCACCATTAATGCCGAGCAATATATACAGGCTTTGGAGCCACATAGGCTGAGACGAAGATGACATCTTGT